TAGAAACTAGACATAGAAAGGTGCAGTTTTCATCGTTTAAAAGAGGAGATGAAAATGTATCGAATCATGTAGATCAGATTTTTCCGATCAATGTTGTTAGATTCTCTCCGAATCTTTTTTCAAAAAATCAAGGCTTTTGAATCGGTTTATAAGGTGAATTTTTTGTTAAAAAATGAGACAAAAAGTCAGTTTTTCTATGAAAAATCTGCTGATAACATATAGAAAAATATGTATAACTCATGATTGACTAAGTCTTACAATGTCGGACTTATATAATTTATAGATCTTCAATTAATGATTCTAGAAAATTCCTGAAAGTTGAAATTGGAAACTTTTACATTGAACAATGTTTTGTTTTTTGACAAACCTGATGGTGGACTCTAAGAAAACTTGTCGAAAAAATCTGATATACATGATTCGATGCAGTTTCATCTCCTCTTTTAAATAGAGAAAATCGCAGCTCTTTATCTAGTTTCTATCAAAAATTATTCAAAAAATGTTCATACTTTTTTTTTTCTCTTTTGAAATATTAACTATTTTTATTAAGTTAATGTAGTTCGAAGATCATCGATTAACTACAGTCGGGGTCAGAAGTCTGGCCACACTTTTTTGTTTTAAGTCTGTATTAAAACTACACAACATTATTTTAATTTGTATATAGGCTTGTGTAGTAGAGGTAAAGTACTATCTAAATAATATCTATTTAGTACGAAAAACTCTTGAATATAAAATAGAACAAAAATAAATAAACTTCGATACTACGAAAAAAAATGGCACAAAAAATACAAAATGAATTGATTCCTATTAATTTATGAGAAATGACGATGTTTTAATGGAGATGGACAATCTTTGTACACATCCTGTCCATATGTAATAGCACAATGATCATAATGATCATAATGATCGATAATTCTCCGCGTTTAGTTTGTGTGCTAAAATAGCTAAAATTAATAGGAACAAATTCATTTTGTATTTTTTGTGCCATTTTTTTTCGTAGTATCGAAGTTTATTTATTTTTGTTCTATTTTATATTCAAGAGTTTTTCGTACTAAATAGATATTATTTAGATAGTACTTTACCTCTACTACACAAGCCTATATACAAATTAAAATAATGTTGTGTAGTTTTAATACAGACTTAAAACAAAAAAGTGTGGCCAGACTTCTGACCCCAACTGTATATTTTTTTTCGAAATCTTATCGATTCAATAAAGATCAACTGAAATTGTGAATATCCATGTCTATGAAAATTTCCTTTCGGCGTTCAATAAAAAATTTTAAGACAAAATAAGACATCGAAATACAGTGTTGTGGAGCTCCAAATTTTTCGCTCTCAGAAAAAATACCGAATCAATACGCTTGTTCGATTACATTTTTCTCAACGATATTCATTATTGAATGGATTGAAAGATCAATTTTTACATTTGAACTTGTTTTATTTCTGAGATAACCACTATTCAAATGAATGACCGATAACATCTAATTTGACATTATTTATCATAATTATAGTCACATGTTTCTTCTAATCTGTAATCATTACATGTCAATAATACTACTGTAGTAGTATTTCTGTTTTTCACTCCTTTTAACTATTTAATTTAATTTTATCTTTTAGCTTCGTTGTTAAATAATTAATTTATAAACATATTCATCTACGTATGAAGAAATAAACTAAGCAGCTATAAATTTCTCCTCCAAAAAAAAGGAAAGAAAATCATCTACAATCCTGTGTAGTTGTCATTTTCAATGTATTCAACCATTATTCTCCTCTTTCATCAATGCAATGAATTGTGTCTATTGAGAAATGTGGTGATCATGGGATATAAGGGGGGATGTACACCCTCATTTTTGAAAAGTAATGATAAATTTTCTAGATTAATTGCTTAAGAAGTTTTTTTTTCTAATGAAATCTCAAATTAAAACGTCCGAAGAAATGATAACCTAAACATGTGAAATGTTCATAATTTGAACGAAATGACTCGTTTATTTATGAATTGTAGTGGGGATTTAGAGAGTGGCGATGGGGGCGATCGCCCCTAGTTCAAAAAAAATTTCGGTTTTTCCCAGCAGAAACGTTTTAAAAATAAGCTGATACTACGTTCTATGATCATAATCGCCCCTAGTCCACTCCACTAAAGCGCTCCTAATCACAACGAATCACTCCACATCATAAAAATTCTAGATTCGTCACTGATGAATTGTAGTCATTTCATAGAGGTTGCAAATGCATTGGTGATCGATTAAACATTCAACATGAATAAGCCTAAATAAACGTCAACACTAGATTCATTTGTCGTTGAAAACCTCAAAAATATATTATCAATATCGTCAAATCCTAATATAGATCAACATGAAGGAGAAGAATCATTAATTTTTACAGCAAATAATAGTACTCCCAAAGTAAATCAAAATGTTGTTTCTGAGCGTACAAATCAAATAGAAATACTATATATTAATCATGATAGTAGATCATTATCTATTCAAAACAATTATTATAGTTCAACAAATTTAACAACATCGAACGATGATTGTATTTTGTCGTCTTCCAATTGTTCTAATAGTGCAGATGTTGAATGTATTGATATTAATTTGCAAGTATCTAGCTATAACTGTTTTTGATGATGGGTATGAGTGTGGATCCTCGCTTCATTCACATCCACACTGAAGTTTATCTATCAATTACTACTGTATTATTGATAAATTGAATGTCATTATTATTTAATTAAAAAATAAGAAGTGAAAAGATTTGTGTGGTACAGACAATTTAAGTTGATATAAGCACGACTTTTGAAGTGACTTAGTTGAGCATTGCTCGAACACATGAAATAATATACGTATAAAGTGTATTCTATGAATTGTTCTATAAAAAGTTTATTATGCAATAATGTAATGTATTTCAATTAATGAGCCAGTGTAACTTAATTTCAATATAATTTGATTGATCGATTGGTCAATCAAATATATGCATTCTCACATGGCGAAAATAGTTGATTTAGAACGACTTTTTTCACTTGAAACTCTATGAATTACTTTTCTGAAAATAATTGATGCATGTGTCCGTTTCACAAATGAAAATGTCATTTTTGTTATTGAGAACTAATCATTTTTTCCTAATTTTTTGGTTTCTTAGTGTATAGCTCTCCCTATTTACTAATTCACTGACGAATTTTCTTTCTTGCTTTAACACATTTTCTCAAACATCCGAGGCGACAAAAGTGTAACAATGCCATCTTTCATTAATAAGCGATTATAAATCACTTGTAGAGTATCACTTGTCAATCTGTGTTATTAAGAATTCATTAGAAAATATCAATGTTCTTTTGTTTTTCGTTTGGAGCAATATCTTCCAACTTCTGATCATCAGCGAATGTTCTTGACATGATAGTGCAATCTGTCTTCGAAAGAATAGATCTTCTATTTACACTAGAACGAAGTGAGTACCTTAACAACGAAAAGTATTTCTTTGTATTGTTATGTCTTTCGGACAGACTTGAGACTTGCTTTCGGAGAAAGTCAACTGTATCAAAATGATCGAATTATTCAATATATGACTGAAAAAAAAATCTCAGCATTCGATATAGTACAAAGACGGAATTGATACGCTTCAGCTCAGTTCATCGTAGAAGATTCGAATCGTGAGATGTGCAATGTAAAGTAATGATCATGGAGGGTGTGGGTGTGGGTGTGGGTGTGGGTGTGGGTGTGGGTGTGGGTGTGGGTGTGGGTGTGGGTGTGGGTGTGGGTGTGTGGGTGTGGGTGTGGGTGTGATTCTTTGCTTCATCCGCAGCCACACCCACACCACCCACCCACAGCCACAGCCACACCACCCACCCACACCCACACACCCACTCACACCCACATCCACCCACACCCACCCACACCCACACCCACAATCACACCCACAATCACACCCACCCACACCGACACCCACACCCCACACCCACACCCACACCCCACACCCACACCCACACACACCCACACCCTGATTTATTTAGCCGGGATGAAATCTAGATATGGGCAGCTCAATCACACCCACATCCACACCCATACCTACATACTCATCTCTGCTCTCGCATCCTCACCCTGAAGAAAAAGAGAACCTTCGGTAAATTAAAATGTCAGACTCTACGTGATAATTACTAAATGGTAACACGATAAATTTCCGACGAACAAGTCAATAAATGAAGCCTGACATTGAACTATGGATGCAACACCACGTATGAACAAGAATGTTTTTTGTTTTTTTTTGTTCATTTCATTTGGTTTATGTTCGTATTAAAGCCCCATAAACGTCAATTATTGATAGCCGTCTGGCTGATAGGACTGACCTTCCTCGAAGTGATAGTGCATGGCCAATATTTGCAATATTCGTTAGTGACTGGAGCACCATATCGTGACTGCTTTTTGTCACCGATTTATGAAGACCAGATTTTTTCTGTTTTGGAATATGATCACGTTTACTATTGTTATCGGCTACCATCGTCAGTTCCTTTCAAAAGAAGAATATGTTTTTCTGGTAAAAAGTAGACGTTTGATCAATTACGGAGAAACTCGACGTCATTTAGAACACTGCTGAAATGGAAAGTTCCGATTGATTTGGTGAGTATCTATACTCGATACTTGAATAATAATGAATCAAGAGAAAGCGAAGATTTTATATGTCGCTGCACAACCAAAAACACATTTGGACGTTTCTGTGAATATATTTATGGACAAAAACCGGGCAATACCTACAAGACATTTGACGAATTATTTGACCAGAGTCTTTCAAAACGACACGACGACGATGTGTCAGTTCATAATTCAATGAGACAACGAGAGTGTTATTCACTTCTGCGTACATGTAGTGCGCTATGTCTTGATTGGCGTGATTTATGTGATGGGGAGTGGGATTGTGCCGCAGGAGAAGATGAGTTGTATTGTGAACACCTAGACTTGAACGAGTGTAATGGCAACCAATTTCGCTGTCGCAATGGATTATGCATTCCAATTGAATGGTTCATGGATTCAAAATTAGATTGTGTCGATGCCACTGACGAGCAACGTAAGCATATCGATAATCCTGATTGGTGCTACAGCATGTCATCAATCGACTGTTCCGAGGTTGCATGTGGCGAAAAACAAGCATATTCATGTGGAGATGGACAATGCCTTTCATGGCGTGAACGTTTTTACAATGATCGTACGCCATTTTGTAAAAATGGACTCGGCTTTTTCGGTATATGTGAATCAATAGGCTTTGTTACGAAAGCCACAGGCGATTGCTTCGGTTGGTTCTTCGTTACAATAACCAACATGTCGGTACCATGCGATAAACTGGTGCGATGTGCTGCAGTGGCTGATTATGGGTAAAGTCGTCAATTTCGAATAAATATTTTCTTTTATGGCTGTTTGATGCAAAATTTCAGATGATAATTTTCTATTTAATTTTTATTATTTTCAAATACTCCTATTGCGTGACGCCCATCTAAAGAAAATTTCTTAGGAAAAAAATCAATGCTTGAGTTATATCTAACTAATTTTAGTTCTCTAGTTCGATAAAAAACTTTTTTCTTGATTATTGAACATGTTTATGGCTAAAATTTTCCTCTTATATTCATAGTTGTACGAGTGATGACGTTGAAAATTTACAACAATATGTACTTGATTATTGCTTCCAGAATACAACACATGGTTATTTGTATTCATTGCCTAACATTTTATCTCCATTTGTTGATGCCTACTTTACACGCGAACAATTTGAGTCCGATGACGAAAACACTATGCGTCTACCTGCTCTTTTCTGTTCTTCAGATAAAGCGAAGTGTTTGCATTTCCATGATGTTTATAATGACAAATATCCATTTCCTCCATTTGAGTATCTATTTGGGCAACAACAATCCTTACCTCATTACTGTCTTAATTCCAATGCCTATTATATTTGTCCAAATACGCACAAATGTATATCGAACTATCGATTACTTGACGGATTCGGTGATTGTATCGATCGATCGGATGAAAACCCTAATTTACATCGACAACTCAATTCTAAATTCACTCGACATCGATATAGATGTGCAATACAAAATGGTGAAACAATATTACCACATCTTTTAGGTAAGATGATAATTAACAATCAGGTAGAGCGTATATCTACACGATTTTCAACAATGTAGTCCGCTAGGATGTGTTCGAGTTGATCACCTAAATGTTGACTGAGAGATATTGTTTAAGCAACGATTAAAGCAATTTCAGTTCATGTAACATAGTCCACAAATCTCTATAAAATCCATAATTGACTTGCTGCCCCATAGTCGGAAATATACTACGAGGATTACATTTAGCAGAAAGACATTTATTTCTTATACAAAAATCTTTTTAATTATATTTCCTGCAAAAAATAATTTTCTGAATAAGATAGGTAGCAATGAAAGTAAGTTCTGAATCTAGATAAAGTTCCTCAACCAATCCGAAGTCAATGTCAAGTGTGCTGTTGCTTGAAAAACCATGATATTTCATTACATACATAACTATTGTCAATCCTATTGTTACACCACAATTATAAGGTGACAGATGATTACAATAGTCTCTAACAAATAGATGATTTCTGAAATCATCAGAATAATTGATAAGAAAAGCATCATATTATATAGGTGATGGTAACAATGATTGCTCGGATGGCAGTGATGAGCTCGAGTTCACTTCGAATCGCATTATCAACTGGCGCGAGGAAGATTGCCTTAATATTGATGATACCATTTGTCGACTGATACGAGGTGATGCAATAATGTATGTTGATATACACATGAAAGACTTGTGTAATACGCAGTCCGATTTACCGCATTCACTCGATGAAATTGACTGCGGTCCTGAATGGATTTGTCCGAAAGCTTGGAAAAAAGGTAGAACTCGGACATCCGGTTCTTGTCTTCACCAAAGCCGATTTCAAGATGGCAAATATGATTTCTCGGACGGAAGTGATGAATTGCATGATGATGCACCGTGTATTCATGGACCACATCCATGGCTAAAGTGTGGATGCAATTATAGTAGTGAAATTATGTGCGAACAATTTGGTGACGGCAATATAAACTGTATTGGTGCGCTTGACGAGCAGCGAAGATTGGCATGTGGCGATAGTAAAGCACTTAACAATCGGTTTTATTGTCGAAGTGATAGTCGTTGCCTGCTGATCTCCTATATTTGTAATGGTGTTCCTGATTGCTCTGACGGAGAGGACGAGACTGAGTTGCTATGTGGTCCTCGCGGGGGCTGTCAAAATGAATCATTTGCGTGTCTTGATAGAGCTGTCAACGGTAAGTGTATTTCTTCGGAAAGTGTCTGTGATGGAAGAAAGAACTGCCCAAATGGACGTGATGAAGAAACTTTGTGCTGGTGGCGAGTAAAACATCCAAAAAGTCGTAAGAATGAATCTATCTCTGGTAAGACTCATTTCAAGAATGATTACATGTAATTCAATCGCATATTCTTGACATCTGGCAAGATGTATTAAGATATTTTATCGAGTTCACCGAAAATCGACTTGTTTGACACAATCGTCACAGTCAACTTTTCGTTTGTCTAGAATCTATTAGATTTGGTACGAGGAGATATCTATGGATAAAATTCTTAGATATTAGTAGTCATCTTTCGTAAGTTAGTTGGCATGATGTTCACGACTGTAGATAGATCTGCAAATATAAAGTAGAAAATTTAGTGTTCGCGCTTGTAACATATTGCAATTCTATGTACTATCTTCGAGGTTTTCGACAAAAAGAAAAGACAGCAACGTTCTATTATCTTCCTCTTGAAAAGTTAGTGACAAAAATCACTCGAGTATTCCTGTGTATCCATTTTTTTATTTTCGACGCGTCACAAGTGTATATCGGCAATATAACTACAAGCGTCTATATGCGTCCAAAATGCAACATTTTTAGAGGTCAGAACGTGTTCTAATGAAGAAACGCAATATGACATTGTTTGCCATTAGACGAGTCTAGATACGTTTGGAGATCTCCCAAGTATTTTTTATTTAAAAAACTTCTGCTCTCTTATGGTATCGATCTCTACTCATTTCTTATCGCCACATGATATTTTCTTTTCAGCCTAACACAATCTTAAGGTATTCAACATAGTACAGCAGATGAGATTCGACCACGATACCTAAAGAATACATGATATTGAACTTGCCACGAAGCTACACATATTGCGTCCATCATGACTTCTATTGCCATGTGGTTTTATAGAGTGAAAAAACATCTTCCTAACATATAAGTAACGCTCATCCTATGGATTCGTTGACCCTTTTCTGAAAGAATACTACTTCATTGTGAATTAAAAATTATTTTATTCTGAAAAGTCATTTATGAGTTATAATTGATCTCAATTATCAATGGTTGTGCTTATCCATTGCTTTGAAGTGATTGTATAGATATTGAACAAATCACATCGCATACAACGACGCATTTTTTAAGCCTTTAAGTTTTCATTGATCATATCTATTAATGATCACGTTAATTGACATTTTTCGTACAGGTAACTCATTTACGTAGTATAAGATTAAAAGTCATCGTCAATTGTTAATACATGTACTACAACGTTCGATAAAGAAGAAGTGGTCTCTCTTTCGTAGTTCATGTTCATTGATGTCGAATCTTTCTTAGTTCAAACCTGAATGTTTATTTATCTCAACAGAATTTAGTTAAAAGTAGAAAGATATGTTTTACGCAAGTCAGAAATTGTCATAAAAAAGAAATTTATCAAAAACCTAATAAATCTTATATTTTTTCTTTTTTCCTTGTAAACGTTAAATCTTATTCTCTTCGTGTATTAACAGCTCTTTGATGCAATACATTTTTTCTGTCTGAATCATGTTTCGACGTATACATATGCCGAGATAGAATTATTTGTATTTAATGATGTCTGACTTCTCATTCCCGTTCATACAAATTAAAACCATGTACAAATATAAAGGACAATAGATTTAACTCAGTGAGGAAACTTAAATAACAGAGAAAAGGACGTCAGATTCCGATTCCCTATCTTCAATTGTCTTCGCTCAAGCCATATCAAAAACATTATTAAAACACTATTAAATACTAGTTATTACTGATGATAAATTGACTCTGAATTCGAATTCTTCAACCTCGATTACTTTTGATCACGTTTTAGAGAAGATATTATGAAACTATTATTAAATAATAATAATTATTAATTATTAATTAAAAACTGACTTCCGATCCGACTTCCCCAACTTAAATTACTTTTTGGTCAAACATTATTCAAGATTAATATAACTATTAGTTAATAAATTAATTATAACAAAATGAATCTCAGATTCGGATTTCCTGTCCTCGATTACCTCTTGGTTTAACTTTTTCTAAGAACTATCGCTGATTTTTTATTGTTTTAGCACATACTGAATTCTGATTGGCTTGAACAGACAGACAGTGAGACAGACAAACTTTAAGCATATTTAGTCGTCGTATAACCCTTTCTTTCAAAAAAGGGAAAAGGCTCATTTCTGACTGATTGGCTTTCTGACCAATAGATACTCAGATTGAAAATCTGGCCTCAGACTCGGATTCCTGACCCTCGATAACATATAAGTATTATCAGAACACCGAAAAATCCTCATATAAAAAAGTCATTTCTAATTGGTCCATTTTCTGACCAATGGACT